GGCAGCCTTTGCTGAAGTTATTTAACCTAAGCATATCTCAGGTTCCTCTATAAAAGGGATGATAATATTAACCCCATTTAATTCATGGGTTTACTATGAGAATCAAACAGGTAAAGTCCATTCGTGCCTGGCAAGTAATTGTTCTATGTTAGCTATTGTCATTATTGTTACCTTATTTACACAAAGTTCATATGACAAATCTACAGCTATTCATCTCTTAGTGGAGGGAAAAGGTTTATACCTGGGCATCCAAAAGCCTCTCCATGTTTACTGTTTTTGGCAATGGACATACAGTTAACCAAAGATAGGGGTAGCCTATGAGACAAAAACATGCACAAATTCCACAGAGCCTGGTGCAGACTTTTTTGTTTTTTTTTTGCAGTGTTTGGCTGAGGCTGGGTTTGAACCCACCACCTCTGGTATATGGGGCTGGCGCCCTACTCCTCTGAGCCATAGGTGCCACCCTGGTGCAGACTCTTGTCCCATCACTTACCATGCTTTAATAATCTTTTTAGGGGCAGTGACCTTCACTAGACTCTAAGTTACTAGAAAGCAGGGACTCTGTCGTAATCATTTCTACAGTCCCTGGGCTTAACAGTTTCTAGGGTAGAGTCAGCCTTCTATGAATGCACTGACATACAATAAGAAACATAAGCAACAAATTTTCTGGGGAAATTATTTACTATCAGTTAAAGGCAAAGTTTTGAGTCAACTAAATGAGCTTTCCTTATAAATATTACCATGTCATTTAGAAAGAAAATTATCCTCAGGTGAAAACTAATTTATAACGAAAGCTTTTATAACAAAAAGACATTCTTCTATTACCTGTGCAGGTGTGGGACAGAACAGCTGAGTAACAGCGCCCTAGGAAGAACAGAAATCTCTTTTCCTCTTTCCTCTAAAACATCAGAAGTCAAAATTTCATTCTGGGTGATATCTGCATTAATTTTGCTAGCTTTATTATGAAAACAAAGAGCTAAAGACAAAGGATATTTCCACTCCTCTGGACAGGCTGCCACAGACCAGTGCTGCTTTATCCATGTGTACACACATGTGGGTTTTGTCCTGGGCAAAGGCAGCTCTTCCCTCCCTTCAGTTCCATTTACACAACCCATCTTCTTTAAAGGTTCTTTGGATTTCATGATGTGGCCATAAAGTTCATTTTCTTTATTTTTCTGTCTTTGTCTTGATAAATTTCCAAATGTATAGCTTTTGCCAGTTTTTTCAA